TGCAGCAACCACCCAGTCCAGGCTGTGTCCTTGAGAGCAACTTCTGTGTGTCAAAACTAAGAAGCATCAGGCCGCCCCTCCTTGATTCACCTTTGCTGTGCCACCCTGGGCCAAGTGCCCTTAAACTGAAATGCAAATGGCCCGAAGCCTTCCTGAGCAGCCACTGCGCGGCTGGGATTACAGATCTGCTAACTCTGCTGCTCTAGCCTCACAGTCAGGATCCTTCACATCCGAGCCAACCAAAGGCTTGGCACTTTCTTGCTGTGCTGTCAGTATTTCTAGCACTGTCAGGCAAGGAGTTCTCTTGCTATCACGCAGGTGGAGGAGCCAACCTAGATCAGTAGGTGGCTTCTCGCTGTTGTTGCATGCTAGAACGGCACTTGAAAGGCTTGGGCCACCCGTCTCCATGGTCTGACACAGGCTGATCCAAGCTGCCCGTGGCTGCCGCCCGTGCCTGCCTCCCTGCCCGCCCAGCCTGTCAGGATACCACCCCATCTGTCAGACCAGGAGCACTCCCTTCCCCACCAAGCACTGCAAAGCTGTGCCCATGGAGGGTTTAGACCCCAGGGGTGAGATGAAGCCCAATGTGAGCAGACAGAGGTGCAGGGGAGAAGGTGGGGAGTGTTGGATTTGAGGAGCTCCCGGGGTACACTCTGAGGTGTGTCTAACACATCCCAGTGTTATTAGCATGAGCAGGAGTCAGTCCCGCTTCCCCAAGCTGTAACTTCAGGCTCACCCAGATAATTCACCTTGTCCAGGTACCCTTTGATAACATTTGCAGGATTATCTTCACTACTGGGGAACATATTTCCATACTGGTTTAATGAAAGCAGAGATTCTGGAGTCAGCAGGAGCTGGAGCCTCACAGTCGGCTTCTAATCCAGGAAATTGGATGTGGTTGGAAATGTTTCAGCAGGCGAAGCTTGGGAGATCCTGCTGTGGCTCATTCCTGATGTGAGGCTCTGTGTCCATGAGATAATAAATCTGAGTTTAGCGCACCTAATCCTGAATTTAAAATACCACAGCCCACATAACACGAAGTGGCTGAACAGGTACAAAGACGCTCTCCCAGCGGAAAGATGTTGCAAATCACTGAAGGAGTAATTGCAGCTGAAACTCTCTTTGCCAGCTGGAGAGCAACGCATACAGGTGGACTTTGGTCACGTAGTCCACGGGCTTTTCAACCAAGCCCTTTCCAAGGTCATGACTTGGGATGCCCCATCTATCGCTGCATCCCTCGCAAGCAGACTTGGGGCAGATCTTCCTTCTTTCGCTTCAGACACTTGCCTGACTTGGCTATTTCTTAAGAGCTGCCAAACCACCTTGGTTAGAGCCACCCAGCAGCTCAATTCACCCTCACAACCTGCAGTAGCTAGACTCCAGCCCTCAGCATGCAGGACCAGTCTGGGTATGCTGAGCCATACCAGTGCCTATCAGCTAGACCAGAAGGCAGGCCCTAAATCGAAGCGACTCTCAGTGATGAAACTCACACTTTGCAATGATGTTTCCCTCTTCAGCCTAAGCTGAATTGCAGCTTGGAGGTTGGGAGGGGTGGGGATGTCCATGAGGAAAGCTGGGAGCTCAAGCAACTGTGCCATCTCAGCATACAGAGATCAGCAAGGGCTCTTTGGGTGTCAAGGAGAGTGCAGGAAGAAGGCTGAGGTCCTGGGAGGAGAGCTACAATGAAGATCATGGGCAACCCTAGCTACAGATGGGAATGTCCAGTCCCTTCTATGGGAATGACTGGTCACAGCCAGCACTGGGGGCTGACCTCAGGCCTCAAAGGCAGCAGCAATTCTTTGAGGACTGGCTGGGATTTCTCACTGAACAAGGGCAATTTGCACTTGGCAATTGCCAACAAGGAGTGAGCAGACAGGGGCATTGTGCAAGGAAAGGCTAACAAGAGGGCAGCTCCCAGGAGCCAGCCCGTCTCTGAAGCATGGGCCACAGCAGAGGTGCTCAGGGTCAGGACTTGAGTGGGATGCATAACCCCTAGCATAGGATATGCTTGGTGGGGTCTTTGTTGTGGTTTCTGGCCTTGCACACATGTGCTGGCTGTGAATTTGGTCTGCCCCGTCACGGCAGTGGGCTCTTACGCACCCCCTTCTCCCCATCCTGTCCAAGGACACACAGTCCCAGTTTGGAGAAAGCAGGTGCAGATGCAAACACCACCGGCCTCACCCTCATAACCAGAGATGAGACACTGCTGAAGTAATATCCCACAGACATTACTCCCGTCTCCACATTCGCAGCTGCCTCTGGCCACGAGTTTGGCATGGCCAAGGGCACTGTTTGCAGCAACAGCGTCAGGACCAGTCACTCCCTTTGGCTTGGGCAAAGATCTTTTGCTTCACAAGGTACGATGCAGATCAGTGGATCTCCCTCTAATACAAAGTAAGGATTTGCGACATGATGCAGGAGAGCTCTCCTGGTGAGGAATAGCCTGGCTGGAAAGGTAGAGAAGAGCCCTATCCCACCACTGAGTTCCCACATAGTGGGATAAGCCCATGCCACCAAGGTCTGCTGTGATCTGTCCTTCAGATCCGTCCTTCACAACTCGGATGGGCTGATAACCTGCTGGCACATCCCCTAGCTGGCTGACCAGCCACACACCGATAAGGAATATGGTGACAGGAGGTGAGGACTGTGAGCTCTAGCCAGCCTGGCTCTGCCCTTCTCAACCCACAGTGGCTCTTCCTGCACCACATTGCTCCTGAAAACAACGGGCAAGCACCTCTGCATCATCAATGTGCTGAAGCAGGTATCGGTATAGCTGGGGACACCATCCCTGTCTGGTGTGCCATCAGGGTGAGCAGGGACATTCCCTTCCCTGAGTTCAGCCTTACCTTGTGAGGACGCTTATCCTGGACCTTTAGATTTTGCCACCTCATCACAGCATAGGAAGGGAGACGTGGCATTATAAGGATGGAGGTAGCCCACGGCCTACAGGCAGTGGGACACCCCATGGCCCCCTTGCCCATGGTATTAGGCTGTCATGCCAATGCCATTTAATCCAAGGCTCCTTGAAAGCCATGAAGACACCTGGACTTCCATCAGAGAAACATAGTCTGCCTGAGGTGGACTCAAGTCTGAAGGCTGAATTTCCTTGATGTGAACAGCCTTTCCAGCATCTCCTCTGGGGTGTATCCCCTCCCCTGTTATCCTTGAGCTGGTCTCTAATCTTTGCAGCAGCATTTGGACAGGCATGACTCAAGGAGCGGGTGGCTGCTAAGGCTGGGTTACAATGCCCAGCTATCAGAAACGCTGCAGGAAGCACAGCACCTCACCCATACATCTTAAATGGCATTCCCCATCTCCAGTTCCAAGTAAGCAAATATTTACACACTTTTCCCTTCCCCGTCCAACATTCTTTCAAGGGAACAAGAAAGGCCTCAAGGGCCTCCTAGCCCGGGCCCTGCAACCTGCTAGACCGTGGCTCCAGCAGCAGCTTATCTCCTTGGAGATGAGGACCTTGGGGTCCTTTAAAGGGGTTTGGTCTCACAAAACCTTAGATTTGAAAGGGATTGGTTTAATTACACACACATCCCGAGCAGGGGAGAGCTGTCTCTAGTTACTTTTTCTCTTGTTGGCATGAAGCACTTCTCCTCGTCCCATGACACATGGAAGGGATCAGGCTCAAGAGCCGAATCTTGAGACAGGTTTCCAAAGTGTGTAAAGAAGGAGCAGCCTTGGCAGAGCAGAGAAGCCCACTTTGGCCTTTACTCCAGCCCCTTGTGTCATGGGGTGACCAGTAACCTGGGCAAAGGCTGGAGCCGGTCCATGCCCTCCCCAGCTCCAGCAGACAGGAGGGTCTGCTGGCATTGATAGGAGATACCCAGGAGTGACAGCCTCTGGGGTTGTGCTTGACAGGGGTAAGATGGTTGGAGACTGTCACGGTCTCAGCAGCAGGGGAACTGATGGTCTGCATAGAAAGGGAAGAAGAAAGTGCTTCAGTGAGTTTCAGTTCTGGGCCCCTTAAGGAAATCACAGAGTGTCTTGTGATTTAGAGACAAATATGCAAGACAAGGAGAGCTTTAAGCCACAAGCTTGGCCTGCTGCCTGAATTTTTTCCCTCCTCTTTCAGCCTAATTACAGTTGAGCCATGTAGTAATTGGGTAACTTTTTCCAGAGGAATCCTTTCACCCCGAGTGAATCATGCTTGCCATAAAGAGAACATGGAGACGGATAAAAGACGTTATAAATCCTACGGCTTATTGTGATAGTTTTGCCCCCATCCCCTTGTTCCTTAGCCCCCGAGGTGTGTCCAGGGTAGGCGCAAGAGCCAGGCACTAAGCTTTCCTGGATACTTCCTCCCCACCCTTCCAAGACAGGTTCCTTTTGGCTTGCTGTGCCCTGCAGCCGAGATGAACTGCATGGTTTTGAGGGCATCTAGGGGTTCTGCACAATAAGGACTATTTCCCCTTCTCTGGTTCCTGTACCTACAAGAGCGGGTGGTAAGGGCTGGGTCAGCAGCTAGGCACAGCCTCTGGGGACAGCAAGGTGATCCTGGGGACAGCTTCAGTCCTCTGCTCCTGGGGTTTCACCTGCACCACAAAGAGTTTCTATGTGCGCAGCGCTATTTCTCCTGCCCCTGATTTAGCTGGAGCCGAAGAGCCCAGCCCTCCTCCCAGGCCCTTCCCACCAAGTCTCAAATCCATCTGATCATTTTCCATGTGGCATAAAAGCCTTGGATAGTAAAACACTCATTGTAAAACTATTTTCCATTGGCTTCATGGCCACACACAGATGGATCTCCTCCTGGAGCAGCCAGCAGCCTGCTTGGAAGGGTTGGGTTTAGCAGGCTGGAGAGGAGCCTGGGTGAGGACAGGGAGGAGACAGCTCTGCCTATTAGGTCCTCCTTCCCTCCCCTCAAAACGAATCCCTCCCACCCTTTCCCCAGTGTGATTGGTGGCTGGGATGGAGAAGGGCCGGGACAACTCTGCTCTCCATCTATTTAAACACAAGGGTGGGGCCCCTGCAGCTACTTGCCTGGGACTATTGCACCTTGGTGAGGAGGAGCATTAGCCTGCAGAACAGCATCATGTCTTGTGTGAGTAGAGGAAGGGATGGGGCAGCTTTGCTGGAGATGGTGCTTTACAGAGTGGGAATGTGCTGTGCTGGCTTGGTGTGGTGGTACTTTTGCTATCCTGCTCAACCTCTGTGTCAGAAGGTCTGCTAAAGCTGGGTGACTTGTATCCACTGCAGAGGGGTTGCTGCTATTTCTTGTTCTGGCAGACATGGTTCTTTTTCCCTGCAGGATCCCTTTAGGAGTAACGTGGGGGGATCCTGGCTGGGTTGGCTCCCAAGCTGGGGTAACCTGTTTTGCCTCAGCTTTGCTCCGGGGAAGCGGTTGCAGTAATGCTTATTGCTCTCTAAGCATCTTTTCTGGGCAGCCTTGCTGCTTGCTTCCTGGCTGAGGTTTTAATGAGTCATTGAATCGTTACTTTCCTTTCTTATAAAAATAATGTCCTATGCAGGAGTGTCCTTCTGTGAGTGTCCAGGACTGCCAGGTAGATGGTTGTGTCGAAGAGTGATTGCACTTCTTTGATTAATTGATCTTTCATTAGACTGAGGGTGATTCACCAGGGAGTGTCTCAAGTGCAAACTTATTTGTTGAAGTGGGATGGGGGAGAGATTCTTACTTGTATTGGGGTCTTGCCTCTGCTGAAATAGAAAATGAGTACGTGTGGGTTTACAGGGTATTTTAGTTCTCCTAGAGAGAAGGTGGGGAAAGGTATGCACATGGAGCAGGAGAATGCTCTTGCAAATGTTGAGCCTACAGAAAACACTCAAGCCCTTAAGAGCTGGAGAGCAAGAGCTGGACATGGGCAAGGCTTGAAGTTCAAACCTAAGCTAGGGAAGGGAGTGGAGGCTCCATTCCTGTGCAGCTGGGCTTGTGTGGGATGGTGAGACCCACAAGGCACACAGGTGTGTTTGTGCCAGGGTGGGTGTGATGGGAGCTTGCAGGTACTTAGGCTTCACTGCTGTGAAATAGATATGTTGATGACAGCAGCAGGAGGAAGGTTGGGAAATCAGGCACATGTCTCTGAGATGCCACTGGTGTAGTGCCCTAGGGGAAGGGAGCTTTCCTGTCTCTCCGGTGGTCCAAAGCAATGCACTTGCAAGGCAGCAAGGAGAGCTGCCAAGTCAGAGCAAGTGAGCCAGCAGGTACTGAGCTAATGTCTCTGCCTCCATGTTCCCCAGGGACCGGTGTGCACCAACTTGGGTCTCAAGCCCGGCCAGCGCCTCACTGTCAAGGGGAAAATCGCTCCGAGTGCAAAGAGGTAAGCTGTGCTCTCAAGGCACCAGACTGAATTGTCTCTGCTGTCTGGGGACAAAAGGAATCCCTCTCTTGGGTAGGAGAAGAGCAGCTTTGGAAGGGGTTAACACTACCAGTGCTTCCCAGTGAGTCATTGCTAATGCACTTTGCAGATGCACTCTACTGCCAAAGGGCTAAGTCAAAGCAGATGTGAAGCTCCAGCTGCGGGCACTGGCACTGACCATATCCTCTGTAGTGCAGGGTAAAGGAAACGGAAACTTTGTCTAGTTGATTTGGTTTGATTGCATCCCCACAGCTACATCCTCTCCCTTGCGTGAAGATGGCCCAGGAGTAGGAACACATTTACAGTGCCTTGCTTCACCAAGGCAGCTTGGGAGGTCTTGGATGCTCTCAGCCACAGCTCCAGCTTATGGTGCAGATGGGAAGGCTGCATATTGCAGCAGAGGGTCTCAGGGTGTTGAAGCTTGCTTTCACCCTATGGAGATGCTTCATAGATGCTAGCGGGGAAGGAAGCATTCCTAAACGTGCAGGGACCAGGCTGTCTGGAGCCCCCAGGGAAGCCTCTGCAGCAGCCCCAGCCCTTGTGCAGGTCTGTGGCTGGTGAGGTCCTTTGGATAAGGTGAAGCCTGTAGGTGCTGTACCAGCACTAGCAGTGTTCCAGGAAACATGTCCCAGCTCTTCCCAGTGCCTTTGAAGCTTGTTAGCATCAGGGTGAAGCCTCCTGGGTGTTCTCTTGCCAAATAATGCCTCCTCTCTTCTCGTTTGGGTAAGAGGCTTGGGGCCAAGGTGAACACTGGGCTGGGAAGCTGCTTCCTCCTGCTGCCATTGCAGATGCTTTGGGATGGCTAATGACATGGTAACAATTAGAGCTGCCTGCAGGGTGGGGAGAAGGCAGTGGCTGCCAGGCAGGATGCAGTGCCAGCTAACTGTTTGGGCCTGAAAGGCAATTGTGGAAAGCAACTGTCTTTCTGGGAGCTGGTTTCACTGCAGGATAATTCCCCATTCAGGGCTTTAACATTTGTCTTGTTAAAAGCTTCATGGAAACCAAGTGGTGTCTTTCCCAGGGATTGCACTGTGGGGCCTGTCACTCCAGCAGAGGAGTGTACCCCTCACTGGCACAGCACCATCATCTTAGGGAAGTTGTGCAGCTTAGCAAAGGGTTTCTCTTTGGTTACGCTTGGCTGGGCTTGAAGCACCAGGCCGAGAGATGTTCATGGTGATGAGCAACATGCTACCACAGTATTGATGTCTTCTTTCTCTGCAGCTTTGTGATGAATCTGGGGAAGGATGCTTCCCACCTTGGGCTTCACTTCAACCCCCGTTTTGATGCTCATGGTGATGTGAACACCATCGTGTGCAACTCAAAGAAGGTGGAAGAGTGGGGTGCAGAGCACAGGGAGACTGTCTTCCCTTTCCAGAAGGGAGGCATAGCAGAGGTGAGACCTGGGATGCACTATAAGACATGGTGAAGGAAAGGTGTTTGGCACCGGGCACCCAACTGCAGGGACTCTGTTTAGGAGGTGACTGGCTTCTCCTGCTTGGCTAGTGCCACCACCCAGGGCTCTGAGCAGTGATGGAGGATGGGGATCAAATGTGCAAGCTCCACCTAGCTCAAAGGGATGTCACTATTGAACTGAGCAGGGAATAAGCATCTCTTGGGAGACCAGAATAACAGTCCTGCTGTTGAAAAGCAGGTTATGCTGCTGAGCACGTTCACCCTGTGGAGGGTGGCACAGTAGCACTGCGGAGGGGAAAAGCTTGAGGGTGTCTTGGCAGAAACTTTCTTTGACTTTTCCATTTGTCTTGCAGATCACTTTTGGCATCAACCCAAATGATGTGACAGTCCACCTGCCAGGCCACCAGTTCACGTTCCCAAACCGGCTTGGTCTCTCTGTTTTTGACTACTTTGATACACAAGGGGACTTCACACTCCAGTCCCTCAGCTGGGAATAACTTTCCTCTGACACCTCTATCTCAAAGATATAGAAAATCAATCAATAAATAAGTTTTGGTCTACCCAGTCTCAATCTAATTTGTTTCATACTGCAAGTCCATGGGGGTTGGTTGCCTTGCTGGAGGGTTGGGGGAAGGAGAGTAGCCAACCATATGTGGGTGACATTGCACCAACTTTGGCCCTTAAAGTCATAGATGGAAAGGAGGGTGAGGGTCAAAAGCCTAGAAAGGCAGAAGGTAAAAAGGCCAAGGAGAGTCTGAGGGGGGAAACACTGGGGGTAGGTGTGGCTGAGGGGTAGAGTGGAAGGGTCCCCTAGAAAAAGTCACGCACTCTTGAGGTGTAGACTGACAGTGTTACCCTGCCTAAGTAAAATGGGTTTATTAACTCTCACTCCATAAACTAAGCATCCCTGGCTGGCCTCAGGCAGCCTGGAGTTGCTGTGCTAGGTAAACCTAGTGGGGTGAAGTCCTCAACTGTGCTAGCTTTGGCTTGCACCCATCTGTAGAAGTTTGTCCTACTCATGACATAGCTTTCCTATGTCTTCTTGGGATCTCTTGCTGCTGCCTGAAGCAGCAGTAGGAAAGGATGCCTCAATGTGGCGGAATGTATAGTGGGCTCCTCATCCAAATCCTTCCAACAACTGCAGAAGCACAGATGCTGATGTGGCACAGGAGGGTGGTGGCCTGGAGAGGTCTGGTTTTATTCTACTGTGTGTGCCTTGCCTGGTCTATCTGGAGTTGGGAGAGGTAGTAATGCCCAGCTGCAGTGTGGGATGCTAAGGTTGCTTTTGTTACCCTTTCACTTACATTAGCCCAAATGAGGCTGAGCTCTTCTCAGTCTAAACTGAGGCTAACCTCTGAGGAGTCTGGAGATAATGAGGCATGTTTGATGTTGCAGCATAGTTCTCAATGGCCTGTGGGTCACTACCCAAGGTGTCAGCCAACAGCTGCCTCTGAGGATCTCCCAATCTAATGCTACTTTGGCAGCAATGACTACTGCTGGTGGGCGCAGGAAAAGTGGGAGATGCCCTTCCCACAGCGCACAGCAGTTGGGGTGGAAGGGCCCACCCTTTGGGTCCTCCTTTCCAGGCTTGGCCATGAACAACATGAAGCACGAACAATTTGATGTCCTACAAAGGCTCCCTGTAGGCCTGGCTGGGTGGATACCTCCCATTAAGCAGTTGCAGAGTAGCTGCAACACTGGGACTTGCTCCTACGGCAGCAGCACCTCCTGTTCTTGCTCAGTATTTCATGAGGCTGTGCCAAGTCCTGTGCCTCAGGTACCCATGGCAGAGGAAGGCTTGGCTGCTAGGAACTGGGGGGCTGAGGAGGAAGAGAGAGACAAGTTGGAGACAAGGGGTCAAGACAGGCTTTCAAGCTGAGAGGCAGAAATACAGGAGTATACAAGCAACGTGAGGCTCTGCAGCTGGATCTCTCTTGAAGCCCCATGTTCCCCAGAGCCAGTCTGCTCTGGAAGGCACTGGAACAGGTTGCCAAAAGAAGTGGTAAATGCTCCATCCCTGGTAGTGTTCAAGGACAGGTTGGACAGAGCCTTGGGTGATATGGTCCAGGGTGTGGTGTCCCTGCCCATGACAGGGGGTTGGAACTAGATGATGTTAAGATTCTTTCCAACCCAAACCATTCTATGATTCTATGATCACACCCTACTCTTTAGGTCTACATTTATAATAGTAAACACAACATCTAACATTGCCACCCTGTGCATAGGCATGGTTAGAGGACAGCATAGCTTGGCTGCTCTTCTCATGGGGTGATGTGAATGAGGCCATTCTGGGGCTAAGAAGAGGGTTTAGCCATATGGGAATGACCCATGTTAGTCTAGATGGACTCAAAGCAAAAGACCTGGCCCAGTTTATGCAGTGGTTTTGACGCAGTCTAGAGTTGGGGATTTCCTGACATGGTGCTGCTGAGGGCCTCCATGTGAGCTGGGATGATGGGCCTACAGTGGACCTCTCTCCTTACAGCTTCCTCTGCTGGGCTGATCTTGAGAGCTCAGCAAATGTACTGACATCCCCAGGCTGTACTTCAGGGCAAACTCACAATGTCTCTTAACTGCACTTGGGAGTCTTTTTTTAGCAAGACTCTTCAAAGGGATTTTTTTTGGGTGGCGGGTGGGGGAAGAAAGATGAGTGTGAGCTTTACCACAAGAGGATGAACCTAATTCAGGTTTCCTGCTAGCGTGGCTGCTCCTCGAAGTGACTCACTGGTCCTATGAAATCTGTGACTCACTGTTGTCCTGACTTTGTTATGGCTTGGCCCGTTGCTAGCAAGGAGGTGAGGGGTGGCGAGGGTTCCCCAGCTGTGCAATTTAGAGTATCGAGGCTGACTCCTCCCTTCCACCCACTTGCTGGCATGCAAGGGCTGAAGGACCTGAGGATGAAGCCAGGATTCCCAAGACAAGCCTCATCCTCCCCCGGAGCTGAGGAGGGTGAGCAGCGTTGCAGAGGGGAAGGTGTGAAGGGGAACACAATGACAATAGAGACACTGCATGCCAGCATGGAGGGTGATGCACTTTTATTTCTTGACTCAACCCCAGCCAAATGGTGGGAGATGTTCCCAACCTGGGATGCTGCTCATCCCTTGCTCTCCTCAACACATCCCAACAACTCCCCCAAAATTGCATGCTGGAGAGGGACTCTTCATCAGGGACTGTAGTGATAGGACAAGGGATGATGGGTTTAAACTTAAACAGGGGAAGTTGAAGTTAGGTCTAAGGAAGAAGTTCTTTACAGTGAGGGTGGTGAGGCACTGGAAAAGGTTGCCCAAAGAAGTGGTAAAGGCTCCATCCCTGGCAGTGTTCAAGACCAGGTTGGATAGAGCCTTGGGCGTCATGGTCTGGTGTGAGGCGCCCATGCCCATGTCAGGGGGTTGGAACTAGATGATCTTAAGGACCTTTCTAATCCAAACCATTCTATGATTCTATGATTCTATAAAGCTGGAGGGATGCTGTGGCCTCCCCCCAGCTCCTCCATGGCTTCTAGGATGGTGCTGGTCCCTGGGGCGCCGGCGGTAGCTGCCAGTGAGCAGGGTGTAGAGGAAGGGGTTGACACAGCTATTGCTGTATGCCAGGCAGGTGACCCCGAAGTTAAGGTAGGCTTGCGTGGTGGGACCAATGCCCAGCCCCTCACCCCAATAGAGCCCAGCCAGCTGCCAGGCCCAGAAGGGGAGGAAGCAGGCCCAGTAGGCTACCACGATGGTG